AGACTTTGCAAAATCAGGAATTGAAGAGCCTGATGGGAAAGAAAATGACCCAGAAATAATAGTCTGTGATCATTGTCTGTTAATTAATGTGTGAACATTCAGGACAATGCATTTGAGAAAGCTTTTCCAGCAGGTTCTAAGTGGGTAAGAGAACTCCTTTCCAGGTGCCGGCACGCCCAGTGCTTCGGCAGGGCTTTGTGCTGTCCCAGCACTGGCGAGCTATTGTGAAGACCTGGGCTTCATTTTGCAGACAGCTGCCAGAAGGTTCTTTCTAAGATACAAATTTATTCTGTCATTTTCTTGCTTTAAAACATAACCTTTATTAGCTCCCAATTCACGCTGCATGTGGGATCCTCCTTCTTCTGAGCCCTGGTTCTCTTTCCAGCCCTTCTCTTAGCCTTGACCCTTGTGCTGCAGCAGCACCAAACTCAGGTGTCACTGCCATCCCACACAGCCCAGTGTTCCCTAATACCGCATCCCAGCACTGGTGTAGGTCTCCACATGGCTCCTTCAGCTCCAGGGCTCTTGCTCCATCAGCATAGCTCCATGTGGCTTGTCAACAGGAATGTCTCGCAGGGAGTGTGTGTATGGCCTGCAGGGAGGAAGACAAGAGTTCTGAAGACCCTCCCCTCATTATTTGGCTCATTTCTATTCAACCAGGAAACTAGGTCCATTAAAAGTAGATGTACCAATTGGCCATACATTTCACTTCTAGAATGTCTTCTCCAAATACACTTTCAATTTACAAAGTTGTAGATGCAAAGATGTCTATTGTTCAGAACATCAGAAGACTAGGAATACTGTTAATGTCAACAGATGAGGAACTGCTTAATTGAATTAGAGAATATTCCTGCACACCGTGGAATACTATACAGCTGTTTAAAAGGATGAGGTCTCGGAGAATTAAGTGAAAATGAAAGGTGTGATTCTTTGTATCTACCAACAACAACAAACTCGACTGCCACCAAGTTGACTCCAACTCACAGTGACTCCATTTAGGGTTTCTGGGGGCCTTGTAAAGTTTTGTAGGAACAGACACTTTCTTCTTTCTTCCTGGGAGCAGCTGGTGGGTTTGAACCACTGAATTGCAGTTCGTAGTGCAACAGTTATCCACTAGCACTACAGGACTCGTCCAGTACAGTATAGTGCAATTTATATTACTCAAATGTGAGACACGTGCACTTACTTGGATATGCACAGTGGACTCTATCAAAGGATGCACAGGAGGAGGAAGAGGGAGGACTGGGAGGACTGGGCAGAGGGGGTGCTTACTTTCTTCTCTATACTTGCCTGAACTTTCTATTGCTTATTTTTTAAACCATGTTGAAGTATTAGGTTTTTAAAAATAATATTTTAAACAGTTTTATGGGCACTTTATCCACATATCATACTATTCAATAATTCAATTATATCAAGAAGAGTTGTACAATCATCACCACAATCAGTGTTAGAACATTTTCTTTTTCCTTGTACTCATGGTTATTAATGTAATTTTCTAAAAATTGTGGCATAAATACGCACAACAAAATATTCTCCAATTCAACAACTTCTACATATATAATTCAGTGCCATTGATTATACTCTTCCTGGTGTACAGCCATTATTGATATCCTTAAGAATAATTAATTTTTTTATAAAACATTTTATTGGAGGCTCTTACAGCTCTTATAGCAATCCATACATCAATTATATCAAGCACATTTGTACATTTGTTGCCATCATCCTTTTCTTTCTCTTTAGCCCTTGGTATCAGCTCCTCTTTTTTCCCTCGCTCCCCAAATAATTCTTAATGTAAAAGAAGTCTAGGCCTTGATGGTGTCAGCCCCTAGGAAGCCCCTCCGAGCGGACGGTTTATGTTGCTCTGTGTCGGATCCTGCTACAGCTGCAGGACCCTGCCGTGAAAGACGCTCTGTCACCCGTGATCGCCACGACCATGGAAGTGGGTCATGTTTCCTGTGCTTAGCAGATTCTTCGTATGAATGTTTGTGGCAGAAAATCCCATCTTGAATGCCCAAGTCCTCCCTGACTATGTGGTCAAGGAGTTGGCCAGGTGTGGGGCCACTCCAGGGAAAGGGGTGGTGCACTCTTCAGCAGACCCAGGAAGGCCTGGGGGACGAGAAGACCCATGAAACAGGAGTCAGTTCACCTCTCCCCAGTCCAGGACAAAGGGAGCAGAGGGTGGTGACCGTTTCTGGTAACATCTAGCCCTTAGGAGTCTGCTAAGGCAGATTGGAGGTGGGAAGCGAGATATGGGTCCAGGACAGGAAGAGGGTTCTCTGAGTCAGATTAAGAAACAATAGAGGAAGCTACAGTGCGGGAATTACAGCCCCTTCTTGGCCTGTGAGCATTTCCTGTGACAAATCTAGCTGACCGCATGTTCAATCTGAGCTCGCCATCCAGCCCAGCTGCTTACCAAGTTCACACAGCCTAGGCTGCATTCATGCAAGTGGTGTCTAGAACAAAGGCCTTTAGGGTCTCCTATCAGCTCACAGAAGAGGAACATGGAGTGTTCCTGGAAGACAGTGACCACTATTGTCAAAAGTCAAGCAAATATGTTCACACAAAAAGAAACACGCTGATGTTTGCCAGGAGGGGGAGAGGGAGGGAGGAAGGCGATGGAGAGTAAAACACTGGCTAGAGGGTAGATGCATGTTAACTTGGGTAAAGGGGAAAGCACTAACCGATAAAAGGGAGTCAACCACAAAACAAACGAGGCAAGGAAAGACCCTGTGACAAGTGCAAGAGTCAAAGGCAACAGAGGAAACCGTGCTATATACACAGTCCTGCAGTACAGTGATGTAGGAGTAGCTGTATGCATGGACACACAGCTGATGGACACACAAGAGGGAGGACAGGAGTAGATCCACAAATACGGACTGGATGAAGGATGTTTGTACCTGTGTGTTCACCTTTATGCAAATATGTCCTTTATTATATATAATATAGTAAAGCTCAGAAGGGCAGTTGTGAAAATGGTATAGACATCAACAAACACCTTGAGGGTACAGTAGGTCACTGTCCTGGGGGACACCAAGGTCAATGGTATAACGGTCCACAAAGACAATGTTCTATATCCTACTTTGGCAAGTAGTGACCAGGGCCTTAAGAGCTGGTCACCAGCCATCTAAGGGGCCACTATTGGTTGCTCCCAGTCCAAAGGGTAGAAGAGTAAAGAAAATCAAAGAGGCATTAATCTTCATGACCCTGAGACCAGGGCCCTGCCACCACTAGACAATTGAACAAAATTCAAAATCATCAAACAAACAACAACAAAACAGACTTACTGGTTGGGTAGAGGCTGGTAGAACCCCTGAAACAATAGCCCTTCAGGTCTGGAAATGAAGTCAGCTGAATGACTTAATTTTCAGCCACACAGTAGACAGGTCTATAAGAGACCAATAAGACTAGGGAGTACACACACCTTAGAGCAGTGGTTCTCAACCTTCCTCATGCCGCGGCCCTTTCATACAGTTCCTCAGGTTGTGGTGAGCCCCCAACCGTCAAATGATTTCCATTGCTACTTCATAAATGTCATTTTGCTACTGTGATGAATCGGGCGACCCCTGTGAAAGGGACCTTCAAGCCACAAAGGTGTCGCAGCCCACAGTTTGAGAACCACTGCCTTAGAATGATCAGCCATCTAAAATGGCAAACCTTGGTTACCGTCACATCCTCTGCCTCTAAACCTCTCTCTGAGGACCAGCTTAATCCTGATGATTTTCCCGATAGGCCAAGGTATCTGTGACATGGTGGAGAGGAGAGGAGAGCCCTGTATGCCTGCTGGTGGAACCTCACCTCCATGTCACAGGCACCTAAACAAGCCATTTCACCTAGCTTGCAAGCTTGTGCCAGTCACCGACTGAGCCATGCCAGTGGGAGGCACCTAAAACATCAGTTGGCTTCTTGGTTAAATAGACTTATATGCCCTTGAGATTCTAGGAAGAAAGTGACGTGAGGCCTGGCACGTAGGAGGTAGACTCTGTGTGGCATTTGCTCAGGTTTCTTTCACTAACGCTGGTGAGGTTCTCAGTGCCTGCCTGTTTCTCCCCTGGCCTCTCCCTCCCGGTCTCAGGCCCTAGCCATGGAGTTGTATTGTTCTTGAAACAGCCTCTAGCAAAAGAAGTTAGCTGCCCTCACCTAATTGTCCATTTGTAAGCTTTCCTCCCATCTGATGGGAAGTAGGCTCAGCCGATGGTATGAATGTTGGTTGATCTCCTTGGAAAACCAGTGAAAAAGTTGGGGACATGACACGGAGAGAGCTGGGTTCTGGGTCGATATGGCTTTGGACTCACCTCTGATACAAAGAATCTAAGTATCCTCGGGCCACACAGGGGGAGCCAGGACGTAAGCCTGGCTCTGTGTCCTAGACCTTGGCTCTCCCTACACAGACCTGTCTCTATCTGTAGGACAAAAGAGCGTTGGAACTGCCTACAACACTCTGGGCCAGTGACTGCTGTGCAGATGAGCTGGTGGTTATGGTAGGCAGCAGAATGTACCCGACTGGGAATCCAGACCCTTGGGTTTTAGTGTTGATGCCGCCACTTGCTTTGTGACTTTATAAATCGCTTCACCTCTTTGGGCATCAGAGGGGATCTATAAAATCATCAATAAACCATATCAGGGCCCCCCCCCCAAATTTTTTTAAGATGTTTTATCCTTCGCAGGCTTTGTAACTTCTGTCGCAAATCCTTATCTCTACTGTTATAGGTAAAAGTAGCCCTAAGCCACGAACAGAGTGTCTCTCTCTAAAACTGTGCTTACAACCCCAGGCTGGACTTGCTCCTGGGTCCTGGTTTGTGGGGTCCTGGCCCTGACTTGCTGATGTCATGTTGTCTCTGGGCTACTGTAGGACCCCCGAGCATCAGTCTCTGCATGTGGTGGACTGGAGCCCTCGCTGTGAATTCATCGCCAGTCTGCAGTGACCCTGGGTGTTTGCGTCCCATGTGGGAGCCAGGTTTTGGTCTTTGGTAGCCAGTCTCTTTTTTTCTCTCTCTATCTAGAATGCCGAGATGTATAAACTGTCTTCACAGCAATTCCATGAGGCCGCTTCAAAAATGGAGAACACAATAAGGTAAGAATGTGTTTCTCTTTCTCTGTCGGCTGGCACTGTGTTTGGGAGAATGCCTGCGTGAGCCTTGAAACCTGCCACCACCTGCCTGATTTCAGACTTCTGTCACACGCGTTGAGCCATCTGTTCCTGATTCTCTCACCCGCAGCCATGGCAGCCATTGGTCCTCTGTAATTGACCAAATCAGCCCTCCGTCCTTCAGCAGCGCCTCGGTAAACTGAAGTGTGGCTGAGGCAGGTGACACAGCTGAGGTGCTTTCAGGCCCGTCTCTGGGGAGCAGAGCTGCCTTTTGTATTCTAGCAAGGAGAGCAGCTCGTGATCAGGCTCCCAAGAGATCATAGAGAAGGGAGTGGTGCTCCTGGCCATCTCCGCGCCCCTGCTTTGTGGAGATGCTTTCTAGGGCAGCCTACTTACCTCCCACTTGCCTGTGCTAAGCACCCCTTGTATCTTGACACTGAGGTGAGGCTTCATGGAGCCTTGCCCAAAGTCTCCCAATGGGTTCTCCATGCCTACTCCCGGAGCACGGGTTGTACTTCAGTGCACTTACCTGTGGTGCCCTGGGTTGATCTTTGTCCCTCAGAGACAGTCACTCTGAATGTACCAGTGGGTAGAACTTCACTAGGCTCTGCAATCCCACTGCCGCCCTGCCACTGCCTGGCTAGGCACCTTGGTATGAGTCACTTCCCCTCTCTGGGTCTCAGCTTTCCCATCGGCAAAACAGAGGTGATACCCGCTTTAATGATCTAAGTGATGCTTAAATAATGGTGGAAAGGAGACCGAGGATACCACTGATTGTTGTTGGTTAGCAGTGGGACTGTTGGACTGAGATCCGCATGGTCAGCAGTTTGAAACCACCAGCAGCTCTGTGGGAGAAAGACTGAGCTTTCTACTCTCGTAAACAGTTACAGTCTCAGAAATTCACAGAGGAGTCCCTGTGAGCCAGCATTGACTCTGTGACAGTGAGTTTAGGGTCTTTTTGTTTGGTTGATTATTAGTAATAACTGACATTTATATCACTTTACAGCACATAGTTTGGTATGGAACAGAGCAAATTCAAGTAGTAAACTGATCAGTATGTCTTTTCCCAACCGGATTCAACAGGAATATGTGTAAAACCAGAAATTATTTTGTTTATGCCCTCTAAGGTGGGTGGAGGGCCTTGATTAGGAGATTTCTGGATTAGCAAATGACTGAATTGCATTGTGCCATAGAAATAAAGCACATTGCTGTCAGCAGTAATAGTGGAGGGTTTCCCTCCAAGTCTATGGGGGCCTTGAACAACTTTTGAGAAAATCGATAGGCTACTTAGATCGTCAACTAGCACCCCATGTAGTCATCCATTCCTTTAGCACACGGGTATTGAGTGCCCACTATTTTTCAGGTATCATGCTAGGTACTGGAGATATGCAAGACAACTTCAGACCCTGCAGCAAGTAGCTTACTGCATTTGGGGGATAACAAACACTATTTTTTAATTAATTGCACAAGAAGCAATTACCTAGTTACTTAATTACAGCAATAAATGCCACGAAGAAGAGTTTGGATTAAAAAGTATATGTCAGAGTTGCCTAACACAGACTGGAAGGTTAGGGAGGGATTCTCTGAGGAATGGCAGGGAGAGGAGAAATGGGCCAGAGGAAGAAAAAGCCTGTCAAACAGAAGGTTCCTGTGCAGTCACCGTCCTGAGGCAGGAAATAATTTCACATATTCCAGCAATGGGAAGGAGGCTCGTATGGCTAGAGAGTAATGAATATGCTGTGAGAGACGCAATAATGGAGCTCCAGCAAATCCACAGGAGCCAGATCAGACAGGATTTTTTTTTTTCTTTTTTACTGTATTAGAGATTTTAATTTTGCCTAAGAACAGTGAAATGCCATTTCAGCTTTATTTGCATTTAAGGTTATAAATTCCTCTCTAAACCCAGATTTAGCTACACCCTCCAAGTGTTGATGTATTTTTATTATAATTCAGGTCAAATTTTTTTCTAATTTTTATTCATATCTCTCTTTTGATGCAAGTTATTTTGAAGTGCATTGCTTAATTTCCTAACATTTGGGGGGGTTTCTCACTGTTCTTATTTTTGTAACTAATTTTGACTTTAATTCCACTGTGACTAGGGAACATCCTCTAAATTTAATGTCCCTTGAAGTTTTTCAAATATGCATTATTACCCAACACATAACTTGTTTTGGTAAACTTTCCAGGTGTGCTTATTAACAGAATGGGCCAGTTGATACTGTGTTCTATGCTTGTCAGTTTTTGTCAGTCAGGTTCAAATTTTCTATATCTTCCCTGACTTTCTTGGGTCTACTTATTACCATATATACTCGTATAAGCCTAGTTTTTTCAGCACATTTGTAATGCAGTTTTTGTGGTAAAATTAGGTGCCTCGGCTGATACTCTGGTTGGCTTATTCTCGAGTATATACAGTAGTTATTGAGAAAGTGTTTGTGTCCCATTCTGATTGTCCTGGTGGCATAGTGGGTTATGGATTGGACTGCAAACTGTAAGGTCAGCAGTTTGAAATCACAGTTGCTCTGTAAGAGAAAGAGGGGGCTTTCTCCTTCTGGAAAGCTTTACAGTCTCAGAAACTGAGATAGTTAATGTTTATTGTGCCAACCTGGCCAATAAACATATGTGGGATTAATTGAAGTGTGGAGAGATAAATGGCTCGGTGAGCCTCACCTTTCAAGTTCTCCGGTCTCTTGTGTTGTGATGGTCAGACCAGGGTGCAGCTGCCTTAGCTAGTTCTCTGCCTCAGCTGGTAAGGCTTACTTCCTGCAAGACATCCCTGCAGAGAAGCCACATGGACCTACCCCAATGCAGCCTTGGGTGTTGGAGCAGCCGTATGGAGATCCGTGCCAGCGCTGAGATGCTTACATGGTCACTGACTCAGCTTTCCTCCTGCAGTCAGCATCATTGTATGTGTTTTGTGAGATGGAGAACTTTGTAGATTAGTGTCGGGCATATGGGCTAATGTTGGACTCATGGGCTTGGACAGCACTGGGTTGGGACGCTTTCTTAATGTAAACCTACCCTTCATATAAAGCTCTTTCATTTATATATGTGAGTTTCTGGGGATTTGTTTCTCTAATTTACCCAGACTAACACATTATGGTTCTAGGAGTGGGGTACTGGAGCAACAAATCATAAAGATGGAGAGTGGATGGTTATTTGACTTCTGCCTCATGGTAGTGTTTCTTCTTTGGCTAGTCAGAAGTCAGATATGTCCATGCAGTTTACTGGGTTATTTTCTGGAAAGAACATGGGAGTTAAAGTTTTGATTATTATGTTTGGTTGTAGTCTTTTGTTATTCCTGTTTAAAATGGTGAAAATGAATGTGATTAATGTATATTTTGAACTCAGGGGTAGAAATCGCTATTTGAATTTCTCAGAAGCCATGCTGCTTAAGGAAAATGGATAGCAGAAGGTCAAAATGCCTGACAGAAAGCCTGGACCTGGTTTAATGCTCTCAGAGACCTAATCCCATATTTTTGTATAAATAAAATACTTTAGATAAGGATTTAAATAAACTAAATTGGGATAGAACTTGACTGTTTTAAGAATTGAGTTCAGTATCTGATTCTATTTTTGTTTATACTAATTTCTTCTGCTTATTATCGATATAATGATTTATAGAAATGTTTATTGGGAAGTATGAAAATAGAAAGGTTGTAAGCCCCCCTGCTTTCAGCCATTAAAATTTTATCTTTAGATGGGTTTAGGCCATGCCTGCAAAGAAAGCTTTGAAAATATAAGACCCACCAGTACTCAGGAACCAGTAGTCTTTGTCAGAAGCTGGAAAAAATCTGGAACCACGAAGAAAACTCCTCTCTGGGACTGAATGTTAAAGGGACCCTGAAAGCAGACTGAAATACTTGCTAGGCGACCACTTGGATCTACTTGTTGAGTGGAAGTGAGAGAAATGCAGCAATAAAGAAACAGTTGAGTTTGGCCACTCATATCTGTGGACTTGGTTTACAGGAAAAAGAAGAGAAGATGAGATTGGGTTGACTGGTCTGAAGTTCATGACCTAGCACAAGGGGGCTAGGCTTGTTGAATATTTGTGAGAGCTCAAAGTCTAAAGGCAAAGGGGCCAATGGGCACCCTGGGGAGGCTAAGTGAGGCAGCCCACATTGAGTTGACCAGAACCCGACCAGATGAAGAGATTTTTGAGCCTGTGAACCGGTGTATATTGTTGCTGACTTTATAGATTGCCTGTCCTGATTTGACTTTGCTTATGGATGTGGACTTCACAAGGTTCCAACTGGAATGAAGACTCTTTACGTCGAAAAATATGATTGTCTCATCAGAGCATTGGGTTGATGTACGTGGACAGTATAGAAATTGGATACCCAAAATTGGGGGGATAAAGGCATGAAGTGGTTGGCTTACAAACTTTCATAGGTAGGGAAATATATTCATAGGATTATAGGATTGAGGTGTAGGTGTTACTTAACTGCAATTGTTAGGCTAAAGAATTGTGTACACGTGCCAAGTTAGCAAGGGGGAGGGGGGGCGTAGATTAAGATAGTTAAAGTTTATTGTGCCAACCTGGCCGATAAACACATGTGGGATTAATTCAAGGGCAGAGAGATAAATGGCTCGGTGAGCCTCACCTTTCTAGTTCTCGGGTCTCTTGCTCTCTGATGGTCAGATTTGCTTCTCTATTTACCCAAGCTAACACAGAAACTGGCAGGTTTCTGCTCTGGTGGGTACTTGTACCCTGCCCTTTAGGGTTGCTACGCTTCAGAATCAGCTTGACGGCAGTGAGTGGAAGAGTCATAGGGGCAGTTCTGCCCTGTGCTGCTAGGGTTCCCATGACTGTGGCTGTGAGAGTGAGTTTGATGACTGGATTTGTTGAGTCTCCTTTTGCTTCTATCAAGTTTTGTTTTATATATTTGTAATCTGTAGTATTGGTATATACAAATGAACATTGCTACATACTGCTAGTATACTTGTGTGTACCTTTTTATCAATACGCGGTTTTCTGTATCTGTAAT